GCCGGGCATGGTGGCACATGCCTGTATTCCCAGCTACTCGGGAGGCTGAGGCAGGAGGATCGCTTGAGCCCAGGAGTTTGGGGTTGTAGTAAACTGTGATGATGCCACTGCTCTCTAGCCCAGGCAATTTTGCAAGAGGCTGTCTCTAAGTGAATTAATCAATAATTTACTTAAAGGTGAAAAGACTGTTGTAATCATCTCAGATACCAAAAAATCATGTAGTGGCATCCAACATCTTTTGGAGTTTTATAATCACTTCAGTTATCTAGAAACATTGTATCAAATAGAGAATCACTGGAAGTTTTTCCATCAAAGTCAAGTTCAAGACAAATAGGGCACTCTTACCTCTGTTTTTCCATGTCATGCTGGAAACCCTGGCAAAAGATGCAAGAAGATGAAAAAAAAATGGTATAAATATTGGAAAGTAAATCAAACTTTCTTTTCTGGGTGAAATGATTTATTTAGAAAAATCCAGAGAATCGCTTGATAACTTATGTGAAGTTTTATAAGGTAGCTACCTAAGCAAAGTGACCAGATACAGGATCAACATACAGAATCAATAACTTTCCCATATATCAGCAATCATAGTTTAGAAAATAGAAATTTTAAACCTCATTTCATTTTTGCAATAACCCTGAGGAAGATTTTAGCCCCATTTTACAGATGCGAAAACTGGAGCTAGAGATTAACGTGACCAAAATCACACATCTCATAATTAGCAGAGAATGATTCAAATCTAGTTTGCCTGAGCCCAGAAAGTTTTTTTTTTCAGGGTACATTTGCAGGTGACAAGGGCTGTTGCTCTCCGCATCATGGTGCACAAGACCTCCCAGATGGCAGTGCCCAGCCTCACTGTCCACAGCAAGAGGCTTTCAACACCCACTCTGACCTTGCTTTCTCAGGATACTGGGAAATGTGTTGCTGAAGCTGCACCTCTTAGGATCCTGAAGTCCCTGAGCACAGAGTAGTCACAGAGGACCTCCACTTTTGTTCTTCTTGAATTCAAAGCCCTAAGAGTTCAGAGACACCCACTGGAGAGCAAGTCTAGTGTAAAACACAGCCAGAGGGCATGTGATTGCTGAGTCTTTCAGTTGAAGGTGACAGCTATTGGACTGGTAGTTTGGTAGGTGTCAGTAGCTTGTGCACAGAAATAACAGAGGTGTTTACAAATCTTGCTTTTGTAGTGTGTATTTGCATACCTTGGGTGGGCTGCTGTTCTGTGGTCTATGTGCAAACCACAGACCAGAGTTGCATGTGGGTAAAGGGGTATTTTTTTCCCTTGCCTTCCTTGGAGGTGCCCTGATAGTACATTTCTTCCATTTGTAGGTCACACTCACCGCTTTGCAAGCTTTATCTGATAGCATAGATCTGAAATAAGCATCAGCTTCCGATGGAACCTCTTCTGCATGCTCTCCTTCCCCCCAAACTTGGAGCAATTGGGCATGGAAGGCTGCAGGCTGGGCGAGGCTGTACCCTCAGCTCTGCCCTCAGGACATTGGACCGTAGATGCCTCTTGAGGTCTTCTGGCCTTCTTGCTCCTTTGTATGAATTTGTCATTGGAGTAGGAGATATTGAAAGCCTTTCTCAATCTCCATCCTCTGACCAGTATCTAGGGAGCTTTGCACTTGCTTGTGCAGTAGGAAGAGGTTGCTGGGATCAGGGGAGGTAGGATGGGTGCATCAGAAGGTGGCATTTCTGATTGACTAATGCATCCTAGGAAAAACTGCACGTCCCTTATTTTTCAGAATGACTTTCTTTCTATTACATTGTTAACCCAAGCATGGGTCACAGAAAGTAGGGTGGGTTAGGGTGAACACGTGACTAACACAGAGGTGATTGTTACATGTTAACTGGGCTTCTGAGAACGAAATGCTGAGAGCATATTACAATGTTCAATACAAGGATAATGTCTAACCTAATAGATGGCTGTACCGTGGATGTTGGATAGAATTTAACTCTTGAGATTTGAATCACAGTGAAGGGCCCTTATCTACTCATTCAAAAGGTATTTGTTGAGATCTTTAGTAACCTTTATATTGTGAGACATCATCCCCTCATCTCCTTAGTGTGTATAAAGCAGAGTGCACCTTTTTTTTTTTTTTCTTTTTTTGAGACAGAGTCTCACTGTGTTGCCCGGGCTAGAGTGCTGTGGCGTCATCCTAGCTCACAGCAACCTCAGACTCCTGGGCTCAAGCGCGATCCTCCTGCCTCAGCCTCCCGAGTAGCTGGGACTACAGGCATGCGCCACCATGCCCGGCAAATTTTTTCTATATATTTTTAGTTGTCCAATTAATTTCTTTCTAATTTTAGTAGAGACGGGGTGTCACTCTTGCTCAGGCTGGTTTCGAACTCCTGAGCTCAAACAATCCGCCCGCCTTGGCCTCCCAGAGAGCTAGGATTACATACAGGCGTGAGCCACCGCGCCCGGCCGGGGTGCACCTTCTTACTTGAAGAAGTTGTACTTTGTGTTAATCTCAACAAGATACCTCCCAGAGCAGGAACTGGAAGTGGGCTCACCTGAGTTTCAGAGGCAGCGATGTGGTGCATTAGAAACAGGCTTTGTGGTCAGTGAGCCTGTTCCAGTGCCAGCTCTGCTGGTGACTGCATGCCACCACGGGCAGGATCCCGCATCTCTCGGAGTCCCCGTGTGCCTAGGTGTGACATGTAGATGGTGTTTTACCTATTACGTGCAGGCTGTGCTAAAAAATGGTATTCGCATGTAGCTCAGGGCTACGCTCACACAATCTGGGACTGTTCTCTGTTCAGAGTCATTGGCTTTATTGTTCCGTCTGAGCTGCAGTCACCTGTGTGATAAAATTAAAAAAGGGAGGCACCGCCTGAAAGACATAAGCCAGTGAGAGTTGGAGAGCAGGCCTGAGTTTGGAAGAAAGTAAAAAGTCCTATGTATCAGTTTGGTGTCTTTCAGTTACTGGAAAACAAATTGAGTCAAAAAAGAGTTGGGAGATACTCTATTATTATACTCATGAGGCCAGCCCTGGCTTACAGCTGCAAGAAGTGACACGCCAGAGTCAGACCCCAGGATTAGATAGACCTGCCCCACTAGGCACAGGGGCTCTGGAGCGGCAGGCCCTGGACCTCTGGGTGGACCACACGGCACAAGAGTGGCCATCAACACGTGCTGTCTGCCCGTTCGGTGGTCCCCAAGAGGCAGAGGAGGGAAGTAGCAGACCACATGCCTGGCCCACGGCCCCCATCTGGGGAGAGTGAGCAAGGCACAGAGGCCCAGAGGTGTTGCAGATGGAACTACTGCCACAGGAAGGAACCAGAAGCAAGGATAGAGTGCACCCAGACGACAAACCCAGTGCATTCTGGCTTAGGTTACAAAAGAGAATTGTCATCAGTGGGAAATCCTGGGCATGACAGGATCCAGAAGCTCAAGAGGTGTCCTTGGGAGCCCTCTCTCAGTTCTGCTTCCCCTTCATCCTCACATAGATCACTTCCCTGTGTGCTCACCAGAATGCCAGGCTTATGGGACCCTTAGATCCCAGTTGCAGTGTTGGAGACAGCAGCTTCTGCCCTCTCTGTCAAGTCTTTCTGTATGGCTTCAGAGAGCACCATGTGTTCATATCAGAATCAGTCTCTACAGATTAGGGGATTGGAAACAGGCACTAGCCCCGCGTCACATGGACCAAACCCAAGCAGAGAAAAATCCGGAGGTTGGGTCCCTGAAGAGAAGTCACCCATCACCAGGCTTTAAAAATGAACAGTGATTGTGCTGCATCATGGAAGTATGGGTCTTTTCAATTTCCTGAATTCTTGTAGTCCCACTTTTCTGAGTATATATTACTTTATGAACAGGGAAGAAGATAAAAAGAACTTTCATAAGTCTATTTGTGTTATCTGGCCTTGTCCCCAAAAGGATTTATGTTGGCTACGAAAAACATGTAAAATAAAGAGACATACACAAACGAGAGAAAGGGAAGATGAGAGTAAGAAGTGCAGCCAAGGAGTTCCCATGTGTTTGCCAGAAGTGGGACACCCAGATATCAAGGAAAACCTTTTCATCTGTTGTGTGTGTGTGTGTAGAGGGGGGAATCGCTCTAAGGAAGCAGGCAGAAGGGTGGGGATTCTGAGGGGCCCTGGTTTGAAGGGCAGTTGCCAGCCGTATTTAACAAAGCCTTTATGAGTATGTGGCCCCTGGACCCAGAGGGTCGTAGAGAGCAGCCACCACCTGGGATCCACTGGCCTGCTTCTCTGAGTCTCTCAGGTGGGAGCTTGTGGCACATAGGTGGTATATTGGGTGGCAGTGAGACCACCTGTGCCTGTGGGATTTGCATGTACAGTCCATACTGACAGCTGATCTCCTTCAGCAAGGATCTGGTTGGAGTCTCCAATCATAACTCGTCCTCTCGATGAGAAAAAACGGCTCTGCACTCAACCTCCACAGGGGTGGCTTTGTTCTGTGCAGTCATCCATCTCACTTCTAGTTTAAAGTGATCTCCAAGGCTTGCCTCCAACCCCAAAGATTACAAAATTTCTTCCTGGAAAGCCAATATTTATGATACCCTAGAAGTATCCTTACCTCTGAGACTTTCCCAGGCTGGGATTCACCCCACATATAAACATTTGGGGTTTATTTTTGCCTATCTGCATCTCCCCTGCTTGCCATAGTACCTTGCAATCAGGGCCACAAATGGAGTAACCTTGCTCGATCAAACGGGAACACACCAGCGGCAGCCTGGTGTATTGAGCCCTTTACCCAAAGCCCAGTCGCTGCTCCCACATTTGAAAAAGCAAACCCAACTTCCAGGGTCTGGTGGCTGGGTTTCTTTGCCTGTTGAGCCAGCCACATCATGTTTAGACACTGGCCCTCCAGGGGTTCCTGGCCATAGCCAGGATAAACTCAGGATTTTGGGAAGTCCAGCAAGATGTCTCAGTTGGCAAAGAGATGGTATTTTGAATACTACATGTTAGGTTTGGTATGTGGGTTTTTGTTGTTATTGTTTTTCACTTGACTCTTGTTACCTCCCTCTAAACAGACAGCTACAGACAGTTCTTCTAACTCCTCTCAGAAGAGGGAACAACCTACTCGGACAATCTCCTCACCCACATCCTGTGAGCACCGGAGGATTTATACCCTAGGCCACCTCCACGACCCATACCCCACAGACCACTATCACCTCGATCAGGTGAGCAGCAGTCTCCCTCCTGTGAGGTCATCAGGAGGGTGGCTCTGATTCTGGGATGGCCTCCTTTCCTCCCATTCAGCCAAACGCCCCAAGCCCGGGCCTCTTCCATTCTCGAACTCTGTACGCCCACCCCATATTGAAGGTGGTGGTGGTGGTAGTGGTGGCGGCACCTCAGCCCTACTCGGAGTTTTCTGTGTGCCAGACACATTGCCAAGCCCTCTATATGCTTTCTCTGGTTTAATCTGCACAAATTATCCCACAAGTTGTCAGCATCCCTAGTTTACAGATGAGGAAGCTGAGGCAGGAGAGATGGAGCAACTGGTGGAACGAGAGTGAGATCCAGGTCTGTCCTCACCCAGGGTGCTCCGCTGCCCCCGGTGTTCCTCTGTGCAAAGGGCCTCCTGGCTTTGTGCGAAAGCACAGAGCCACGATCAAGACTGAGGAATGCTGCACACTTGGCTCCAGCCCCCTGCCATGGCAGGCTGCAGGCCCAGTCTTGCTCAGGGATGTAGCTGGAGTCTGGAATTCAGTATTTCAACAAATATTTACCAAGTGGCTGCTTTGAGGAGCAGGTTCCCAAATCATGGGGCATGGACTGGTGCCCACATGGGGTGATGTGGCCACTAGACTGCTTTGAAATGAGAAAAAAGGAACACAGGGCAGTGAGGGTTTTTTTTTTTTTTAACATAAAGCTAGGCTTATTTGACTCTTTTAAAACATTCTATTGTGTGCATCCTAATATTTTGGCATTAAAATGTCCTTTTATATCTTTTTTTAAAAAATCACATTATGGTAACAGTAGATGGAAATTGACTTTTTGATTTTCCTTACTTTGCAAAATAAAAATTAGCAAAACCCAAGTCAGCTCCCAAGATTTGTTTTGAAATCCTTCAGAATTGTGATTTTTCCAAAGTCTGGGAAACTGATAACAAGAGTCTGATGGGAATTAAAGCAAAATGTGTGAGACATGGCCCCTGTCCTCAAGAAGCTCACAGTTTGGTGGGAAGTGATGGGTAAATCTATAATAATTACCATGTGATAAATTCTATAGCAATATTATAATGGCAATGATGGCGACAGGTACCCCTCGCATCCTGTGTGCCAGGCTTTGAGCTGACACTCTGCACAGATAATTTCTCTTCATTCTCACAATGGTCCTATGCAGCTTGATAGACAGGGAAACTGCGTCTTAGTGACTTGCTAGTAAATTTGTAGTCAGCATTTGACTGCAGTGGGTCACTCCAGAGCCATGTTCCTTGCCCCTTGAAAATTCTTCATGCTCAAAGGACTTTGAAGGTGGAAAATCTCATTCTCTGCCTCAACTGAGATGCCCAGAGCAAGGCAGGGTTACATGCATCTATGCAATAAATATTTATTCAGCGCTTGCCACTCTGGACAAGGTACTGTTGTAAACTGTAGCAGGACTAACAGTAGAGAAAAGACTCTTTCACCCTAGGGGAGAATGCAGTTTGGATTTGAATGTTAAGGGTATGGCTCTGGGTCTGGTCACACACTGTCTGTGATCCTGGCAGAATTCAGACCCAGGCAGTCAGCAGTCTAAGCCTTCACTCTTACCCTTCCTTTGTCTGTGTATCGTATCTTCCCAACCAGATTACAAGGTGAGCCTTACATTTTCTGGTATCCCCCTATTGCCCTTTGGAGCATGACCTGCAGTGAGAAATGCATCGTAAAATGTGACCCTGCATGCAGATACTGTGCACACATAGATGATGAAGTTTCAGGATACTATATTTACTCCTATAACATGCAGTGTATTCCAGTAGCCTTATGCTATTTCATTTAAAAAAAAAAAGCAGCAGCAAGTCTTACAAAAGAGAACATGCTGTACAAAAACAGGCAAAACTTATCTAAGCTGTTAGAAATCAGCCTAGCCCCCACCCTGGGAGTGGGAGTACCTGAGGGAGGTGGGGGATGTTCTGGGGGGGCAGGTCCTGCTCTGCCTCTCAATCAGGGTGTGTTGGGCTTCTGAGCACTCATCAAACTACTCTGGCCACATTGCGTACTTTCCTGCCTGTGCTAATACTTCATTGGAAAGGGAAAATATTGCTGTTCTCAACCCACTGAATGGATTTTTCTGACCCAGTACTGGATTGAGACTCAGTTTGAAATATATCTTTGACTGATGGGCAAGATGTTCAGTCATTACAGGATGGGTCAGTTTCTTCAAGAAGAGCCTCTGTGGAGGAGACAGGTGCATTTTGGAGGACTGGGGAGGGAGGTGTTCTTACGGCTGTTGCTACAAAATAATGCCTCCTCTTTCCCGGGTCAGCCGATGCCAAGGCCCTACCGCCAGGTGAGCTTCCCGGACGACGACGAGGAGATCGTGCGCATCAACCCCCGGGAGAAGATCTGGATGACGGGGTACGAGGATTACCGGCACGCGCCAGTCCGGGGCAAGTACCCGGACCCCTCGGAGGACGCGGACTCCTACGTGCGCTTCGCCAAGGGCGAGGTCCCCAAGCACGACTACAACTACCCCTACGTGGACTCTTCAGACTTTGGCCTGGGCGAGGACCCCAAAGGCCGCGGGGGCAGCGTGATCAAGACGCAGCCCCCTCGGGGCAAGTCCCGGCGGCGGAAGGAGGACGGGGAGCGCTCGCGGTGCGTGTACTGCAGGGACATGTTCAACCACGAGGAGAACCGGAGGGGCCACTGTCAGGACGCGCCCGACTCAGTGAGAACTTGCATCCGCCGGGTGAGCTGTATGTGGTGTGCGGACAGCATGCTCTACCACTGTATGTCGGACCCCGAGGGAGACTATACAGACCCTTGCTCGTGCGATACTAGCGACGAGAAGTTTTGCCTCCGGTGGATGGCTCTTATTGCCTTGTCTTTCTTGGCCCCCTGTATGTGCTGTTACCTGCCCCTTCGGGCCTGCTACCACTGCGGAGTGATGTGCAGGTGCTGCGGCGGGAAGCACAAAGCCGCCGCCTGACTCGGTTTCTCTCCCTTCTCCCCGCTCCATCCGCAACGGCAGGGGAACTCGTTGTCTCTCACATACTCTCATCTCCTCCCCTGCTCCCTTCCACTCCGAGGCGCGAGGAGAGCAAGAGGTCTGCCAGCTCCCTGGTTCCTTGGGGCACCGTTCCAGCCAGGGGCACCTGCCGGGTGTGCTCCACTGCCCCGGCCGCCCACACTGCATCAGCCACGCACCCATACACGTGCCCACACGGTGTTCTACGGAAGGAACCTTCGGCATAGACTCTCGTGTTTTATTAACAATCTGGAACCAAGCTCACTGTCTTACCATGTGTTGATTTCCTCTTTCCTCCCCCACCTCTTCCAGTTCAAAGGCATCTGCAGTTGGAACTAATGATTTTTGGTGGGTTTTGTAGTTGATTTTTTCCCAAGAGTATGAAGACTATCTTTCTCTTGGTTCAGCTTGCCGGTTGCTAGCCAGCATCAGGTGCCTGCGGACGTGTGATGTCAGAATGATGAAACCCTACCGGAAGTATTTAAACCTGCAGTCACTTACTATGTATAGGAGGTGAGCTAGTTAACAAACTTGTACCACAAAACCATATTGCTTTAACTTTTCTAAAGCCAAATTTCCCATGTAAGCTGCAGTTTCTATCTTTAGCCCATCATCATTTTCTGCACCCAAAAAAATCTGTCAAAATTATTCACTGATGCAAAACATTCACCCGTAAAATGACTGAGAATCGAGCCTTAACTTCAGATTAACTTGTAAGAATTAGGAAAATTCCTTAAACTGCATTGCAGCCTCTTGGACTAGGGCTAGAAAGGGGATTTCAGGTTTCTACGAGCCTCCCCAGTTATCCCTAAAGTAGAACTTTTTAAAATTGTGTTGCTACCACTTCTAAAAATTTCACAATGTTAGAATGACACTAGTGAAGTAAGAAATTTTGCTCATTATTTTGCAAAATAGTTTACTCAAATAGTTTACTCAAACACAAACCAGTGTTCTACGAACAAGTTCCAACTGAGAAACACTAAGGTTGTGGTGAATAAAACTATAGGAGCTTCCTTTCCCTCCCTCCCCAGTGGCTATTTTATATTAATGGGGGGAGCGGATTTTAAATGTCATAACATTTGAAGAGTGGTAGGTTGCATTTTGTTCATGGGTTTATGTTTGTGTTGTTATTTTGGATTCAATTTCACATCACCAGATTCTTCATTTATACTTGGGGAAAAAACAAGGCCATATGTAAAAACCCTTCCAATGCCTAAGTGTCTTTCTCCTGCAACTCCAAATCCAGACTTGCCACTTTGGGTGCACAGATGGTTAGGTCAGCCGACTGGTTCTACCTGTCGCCTCACCACGTAGGAGGTTTCTAATTATCTGGAAAAGAGTATTTTTCTAATATATTGCAAGAAATAGCCAAATCTTCTTATTGAAGAAAGCAGAAAAGTAAAGAGTGGTTACCTGTACCTAGCATAGTACAATCAGAACCTCGTGGAGACCACAGGGGACGGGCTTGTCAACGCTGGCCATTCTTCCTGCCATGATCTTTCTGTGGTAATGGCCAGCAAAAGGCATGGCCCAACTCCCCTGTCCTCCCTTTCCCTGTCCCTTCTTTCTTGCACACAGGACATCAGCCTTCAAGGAAAGGGACTTTTTTCCAGTCTGCCAATCATATTTGGAAAGTGCTAGCCATGCTCACCTCCATGGGGTATTTTCAGCTCCTCTGAGAGCCCATGGTGTTTCTTTAGTCTGATCAGCAGTGTAAATACCCAGTGTGCTTATGAGTTAGTTGGTTAGATGTTTCATTTGTTGGAGTAACTGGTTTGGGCTTTCCAGTTTGGAAAAGGAGCAGAGAGCTGTCTGGATGGATGGATGGAAGAAAAGAGAACCTCTTCCATGCCTGGAGAATATCTAGAAAACCTTCAGCCAGCCTCCAGCACTGCTGAGAGACCATCTTCCCCCACCCTGAGGCATTTCCTCAGGGTCTTTCTCTAGGGTCTTCTCTCTACAAAGCACAACACTAATGTATGTTTCGTTAGACCTCAGTTCAAGTGCCCCTATTTATTTCAATAAGAACACACGTATCCCAGCTGCATTTTGATTGTCACCCCTAGTCGTTATATGTTTCTCTCTTCCTTCACGCTTTGTCCTTTTTCACCCTTTAACAGTTTTGCTAGCAAATCTTAACTCCACGTGTACTTTTTGGTTTGTGAAGGCCGTGGTTAAGGGCACAAAGACAGCCATGGGGACATTTATGTAAATACGTCTCTCTAATTGCCACACTGCAGCTGAACAGTGTGTAGTATTTTCCCAGTCAGCTTTGCCATACTGACGTCAATCATTTGAGAGAAATTATTCAGATTTTATTTTTGTATCTGTGGTAACAAAACATTAACCAAAAGATTTTCTGTCCAGAAGCTTCCCCGACCACCCCCTCCCCAAGCTATTTGCTCACATTAACAAATTAAAGTGCCTGAAGCATAATTCATTCTTTACCTGTATACTAAAAACCCTGTTGTATTGATTTTTTTATAATAAGCCTTTTTACCTCTGTGTAAAAAATATATATACAAGTGTATGATGTACATTTTAGTTCTTAACTTTTTTTTATGGTTTCTAATATGTATGACCAATGTAGTCATTGCTTTAAAATTGTACCATGTAAATATAAACACATCCTATCAGATCGTGACTTTGGGGTGTTTGTCTGACTGGAGACGGGGTAACAGCTGACCCTCGGCTGACCCAGGAGTTCTCGCACACAGGATGGGAGGCAGTTCCTGTGGAGAAGGATGTGTGGACACCGGTCTGTTTTTGCGAGGCCTTCCCACCTATGGTTATGTCATGTTCCCAAGGGAAGACTGCAGCTCCTTGGGCTCAGCTGCCTCACGTGAAAGGAATGCTGCGTGTCATCTCCCAGGGAACACCCCCTCTTCCTAGGCCTGGCCTCCCCCACGAGAGCTCCTCAGAGGGAACAGCTGTACTTCCTCCAAGCTGTTTTCCTGATTCCTGCTGAACCTCGGGGCGTTTGTGAGAGAGAGAGAGAGAGTGTGTGTGTGTGTGTGTGTGTGTGTGTGTGTGTGTGTGTGTGTGTATGTGTGGAGTTTGGAAGACGGTTTCAGAAAACAATTGTTAAAACTGCAAGACCCTTGGTCTCCTCAGACGAGCTCTATTTGGCGCACTTTCCTTTCCAAATGGACTCTTTGGATGCTCAAAAGCTGCAGTGACAATCCCCAGAAGGAAGTAAAGCATGAGGTCTTTTGAGGGTCACAGAGGAAAGTTTCAGCTCTTTCTCTAGGGAACCGAGTAGGCCCTTAGAAAGAGATATGTGGGGGCCCCTCTGTCTTGGCTGCAACTTTTCCCAAAGGGGGTGATTTTTTCCAAGTCTCTGGCAGAGACGAAAAGCAGGGAGAGATGCTGGGAGTCAGAGAGTGAGAGGAGGACTTGTGGGGCTTCCGGAGCTGGAGTAGGAAAAGGGCCCCAAGATCTTACTTGCCCCCTCATGCCCCTGTAAAAGGTCCCTCCTGCTGTCCCTGTGTCATAGCCAAGGGGCTACAGCTCAGAAAGGGTAAGGAACCAAGGTGACCTGCAGTCACACGAGGCAAGGACTGAGCCAGGCTAGCTGACTACAGGGCTATCGTTAATCTCTGGGGAATGGAGGTTCATTTCCACTTTACAAGTGAGACAGCACATGTAGAGAAACAACAGTGGTCCCTCAGCATCCACAGGGGATTGGTTCCAGGACCCCCTGCAGATACCGGAATCCACAAATGCTCAAGTCTGTTATATAAAATGGGGTAATATTTGCATATAACTTACGCACATCCTTTCATTTACTTCAAACCATACTTAACGATACCTAATACAATGTAAATGCTATGTAAATATTTAATAAGTATTATTATATGTATTATTTAGGGAATAATTACAAGAAAAAATAGTCTGTACATGTTCAGTACGGATGTACAGACATCCTTTTTTTCCCCTGAAATATTTTCGATCCACAGTTGGTTGGATGAATACATGGATACGGAACCCATGATGCAGAGGGCCGATTGGACGTAGCTTAATCAAGGTCGCTGGACAATCTGTTTGCCATTACTAGCCATTAGTGCTTGGGCACGTGACTTCACCTTTCTGAGTTTCCTTGGTAGGACAAGTGGAGTAACACCTACCCGCAGCGCTCGGGAAGGTTAAACGACACGCTGTAGTTACAGTGTGGCACACAGGAGGTGCTCCAAAAATGCTAGCTGGTTCCTCTATTCTGGGCCCTGAGGAAACAGCGGGAACTGGAGAAGACAACCTCTTTGAAGGCACAGGAGGCTGAAGCACATTGTCAGTATTTTGTGAGTATTTAAATCTACAACCTGTATGTTGGGATTTCTGTTTCTTATCCTCTCTGTGATTCTGAATTTGGTTTTGATTCCTGCTTACTCTTCCAGATGTGTTAATAACCCTAGTGATCGCTGCAGAAGAGCACCAGGCTGGCTAGATTCCGGGGCAGCCAATTCTTGCAACTTGGAAAAAGTCAGCGGCCTGTGTCCATGCATTTCCGCCAAGAGGCTGGGTCCAGCTTGGTGACGCTTGCTGGGGTTGGAACAGTGTCTCCTGAGTGCTGCCTACCACCGCCTGCCTCGCTTCTGTGGACTTCGGCGTCACCTCCTGCAAGTAAGGCCTCTGTCTGCTCCTCCTCCCTGCTGCTCCCCCATTGCTGGCCACCACCCCCTTCCCCAAACAGTGGACACCCCCCAGAAAATCAGGACACTTCCTGGGGGAAAAAGCATTGTGGGAGGAGTTCTTTACGGGATTTACAAGGCAGTTTTTTACTCTCTTGTGGCATCTGAGCAGGTGATCACAGAGCAAGCACCGGGCTGTTCATGTGTGCGAGGGGCAGGCCGGGGGCGGTTATGAAAGTGTACCCGCCCCTGCAGGCATTCTTACCGCAGGCCTGTGGGGCTTTCTGATTTGTGGGGTGAGATAATTAGAAATGCCACTCTTCCTTCGTGAACGAAGCCCTAAACCAGATGCACGGAATGAAGGAAGGTGACCCTGATGACTTCTTGCACAACCAGATACCAGTTGTGACCATGCAAATCAGGGCCTGGCTCGTCTCCTCGGCTGCAGCAGCCACCAGTGCTAGTTGTACCCTAGAGGCAAGCTACCCCTAAAGGGCAGTGTTGGGGTCAGGGGAAGCCTGTATATTTATAAAGGAGGAAAAGGTTACTATGTAATAGTTATACCTGGTACCCTTTCTACCTCATATGTCTCTTCTCTCATTCTCTCTCTTTTTTTTCCTAAAAGTTGGGAAGCAGTTCTGATTATAGACATACTAATATGAGTCATAAAAATGTCATTCACTATAAAAATAATAAGATGTGGCCTGGCATGGTGGCTCATGCCTATAATCCTAGCACTTTGGAGGCCAAGGTGGGAGGATTGGTTGCGGCCAGGAGTTTGGGACCAGCCTGGGCAACACGGTGAGACACCCCGTCTCTACAAGAAGTAGAAAAATTAGCCAACCATGGTGGTCCGCACCTGTAGTCCCAGCTACTCGGGAGCCTAAAAGAGGAGAATGGCCTGAGCCCACTTGAAATTGCAGTGAGCTATGATGACACCACTGCACTCCAGCCTGGGTGACAGAGCGAGACCATGTCTCTAAAAAAAATAAATAAAAAAGATGTATATCGAAACAAGACCACATTCTGAGGTCTTGGAGGTTAGGACTCTAATATGTGAATTGTCGGGGGGTTGAGGGGCACACAGGGACACAATTCAACTCCCAACACCCTCTATCACACCAAAGGTAACCACTGTGTGTCCTTCTGGACTTTTCTGTGCATTTATGCACAAATGTGTGTGTACGTGTGTGTATGTACCTTTAAGTGTGTGTTTCTCTTTGGAGAGGAACTAAAACAGAGTTATGTGTTCTACCTACACTGCTCTAAAAAATTTTTTTTTGTTTTGTTTTTACTTAAAAATATATCCTGGACATCTTTGCATGTGAATACATATGGATTTACTTTATCCTTCTTAACAGCTTCACATTTAAAAAAGTCATTTAATTTTTTATGCAGTTAGAAAAGGTAAGATAATAAGCCTATCATTTGGTTAAATGGATGTATGTCTCATCGGTTCCTTTACTTCTCCAGTGAATTTGGAGTAAATTCCTTGAGTCCTTTCTCCTGTTAGGGTTGTAAGGTTTTCCCATAAATGTCCAAAGTCAGCAGTGAACTCAGCATCTTTAATCTTCTCAATGAAGGTGGGTTGACTGGAGGGGCAGGAGTGTAATGCTTTGATCTCTGACGAGCACCCAGTCCTTGCCAGTTTGGCCGTACCAATTTCAACTTCTGCCTGGGAACAAAGCCAGTACCAGGCAGCACTGTGATGTAGACCAGTCAGCTTCCCCTTCCATGCCCTTTGCTTCCAGTCCCCATAAAACCTTTTTCAAGACCAGCATCTTCCACTCCTCCAAAACCCACTGGAAGAGACAGACCCTTCTGTGGTTTGGATGTGGTTTGTTCCCACCAAAACTCACACTGAAATTTGATCCCCAATGCCACAGTGTTGGGAGGTGGGGCCTGGCAGAGGTGTTGAGGTTATGGGACTGGGTTCCTCATGAATGGCTTGGTACCTTAGTGATTGAGTGAATTCTCACTCTCATGAGCCTGGATTTGTTCTCACGGGGTAGGATTAGCTTCTGTGAGAGTGGGTTGTTATAAAGGCAGGACACCCCTCAGGTTTTCCCCTCTTTACACATGCCCACTTCCCCTTTAACCTTCTCAGCCATATGGTGACAAAGCACGGAAGCCCTTGCCAGAAGCCAGGGCCATGCCCTTGAACGTTTCAGTCTGCAGAACTCTGAGCTAAATAAATCTGTTTTCTTTATAAATTACCCAGTCTCGGGTATTCTTTGTAGCAACACAAAATGGCCTAAGACAAACATATATCGGTCATTTGCACCTTAAGGTGAATTTGCTACCCCACTATCTTCTTGGCAGCATTTGTATTTTAAATCTTGTTATCTAAGTACAGAATAAAATGAAGTGGTCCTTTTTATCTACTTTCATTCTTTACAACTACGGTCTCCAGCCACCAGGCTGTGACCCCGTACCATTCTCTGGCCTGTTAGGAAACAGGCTGCACATCACCACCTGAGCTCCACGCCATGCCCCACCTAACCAAGACACCCCTCTCCCACCCCGGTCCATGAAAAAATCGTCTTCCATAAAACTGGTCCCTGGTGCCAAAAAGGTTGGGGACCACTGCTTTATAATATGTACCTGTTGATATGTTGAACTAAGTGATTTCTACCCTTGAGCTCCCAGATTCATAATTCTTCTAACAAATGGAAGGTGGAGTGCAAGAAAACTTAAATAAAGGATAGCACTGTTAAAGGACAATGAATGCGTTAGGCCATTCTATTTATCTAATAAAAACTGCCTATGAGTTCACCAAGAAAGACAAACTTTTTCCTAACAAAGCTATTTTTCGCCCAAAGTGAAAATACCTTATTCCTATTCTGGTGTGTTGTTAAAGAAAACTAAATAGTACAGAAGAAATAACACCTGAAATACCCCCATTAAGATAACCACTGGTTTACATCCATATTACTTTTCAAGAACAGATTGTAACCTTAGCATTCAAGTTTTATGACCATATTTACAACAGTTGCTTATGCTTTCTTTT